CTAGGTGCTATTTTTCGTAAACACAACATACCCTTTCATTTCTACGCTGATGACTGTCAAATTTACTTCCCTCTGAAGCACAGTGGTGCACATTCCATTCAACCTCTTCTTGACTGCCAGGCCGACATCAGGGACTGGATGTCTTTAAATTTTTTAAGCTTTAATGAGAAGAAGAGTGAAAATATTTTGTTTCCTCCTAATGCCATGATCAAGAACCACTGCATCGACCTTTCCTCTCTAGCTTTGTTAGAGAAACAAAAAGTCATAAATCTGGGAGTGATAATGGACCCTTCCATTAAACTTAACAGTTGTAAACATGATTGTTAAATCCTTGTTATTTTTCAACTGAGGCGACTGTCTAAATTGAAGCCCATACTGTCCAAAAGTAATCTTGAGACAGTAATACATGCTTTCATAACATCCAGGCTCGATGTGCTTCTGTTTGGAATAAGTCAGACCTCCATTGCATGACTACAACTGGTCCAAAGTGCTGCTGCCTGAATTTTAACCGGTACAGGCAAAAGCAAGCACATTACACCAGTTTGGGCCTCCCTGCACTGGTTCCCAGTTCACTTTGAAATTCAGTTCAAAATCCTTTTGCATGTTTTTAAATCACTGAATAGTTATGCCCCCTCTTATCTCGCTGATCTGCTGCAGCCATATGTCCCACAGCTCTCTAAGGTCAGTGAATCGGATGCTTATTTCCATTCCAGGAACACATTGTAAGCTCAGAGGTGACAGAGCTTTCTCTGTTGCAGGTTCCAAATTGTGGAATGAGTTACCATTGCATGTCAGGCAGTCCCCCTCGCTCACTGTTTTTAAGTCTTGCTTAAAAACCCACTTTTAATCCCTGATTTTGACACAGTGTGATTTTTTTTTCTTAACCTGTCTGTATTCTACAATGTTAACCATTTAGGTATCCTCTTCTTCCATTCACATCTATATTTTATTTTAATTTATTTCATTTTTTTGCTGTGTGCTTTGCTTATTTGATTCTGCCATACAGCACTTTTGTTGGCCTTGTTGCTGTTTTAAGTGCTCTATAAATAAAGTGGTATATGGTATGTTTGTATGTATAGCTGTTTCTCAGAAATGGCCATTAGTCAAGATGAATGTCCTTGAACCCTTGTCTGAACCAACAGGTATCTCTCTCTAACAGACTGTCCCTCCGTTGGTAATTACACAGGGAGGTCTACAGCAGGTGGTATGGGGCTGAGCAGAATTTACATAAATCAGTATGTGTCACTGGAACCGGCTGCAGCCTCTGGCATTCTGAATGATTCTCAGTCACACTCAACGGACAATCTGTTTAAATACAACTGATATGGATAGCAGGAAGAAGGCAGAGGTGTGCTCTCTGAAATCTGCATAGTGCTCAGTGTGTAAAACTATTTGGACAAATGTCTGTCTGTTTCACTTTACATTACACATACATATGTGGACCGGTTGCACATAAAATAATTGTATGCATGCCATATTTGTCTAACTATAAATTAAGGATTCAAGGATTTTTTTTATTGGCATAACAGCTCACATTTGCATGTTTATGGTATGAAATTTGGACTCAGGTCCCAGATCAAGAAGCCTAACAAATACTGTCAATAAATACAAAAGAGTGTGTGTGTGTGTGTGTGTATATATATATATATATATATATATATAGATAGATAGATAGATAGATAGATAGATAGATAGATAGATAGATAGATAGATAGATAGATAGATAGATAGATAGATAGATAGATAGATAGATATTTGCTGGATGCTTATCATAACAATACATGTCTGAAAAGAATCAGGCATGGCCAAAACTGCCTGCAAAAATAAAGGTTGTACTGCTTTTAGGAGTAGACTCAAATTTGTTTCTGCTGAGCTCAGTGGGAACAGAGTTACATCAAACAGAGCCTCTAATGGAGATGTCTTCTTATCACAAACTGACCTGGAAACAGTGATCAGGCCACTGTCTAAGGATCTCAGCGGTTGGAAGAGTGCATAGCACATCAATAAATGTTTGATGTGGTTGGAAAGGAAAGCCATTAAGTGTTATAAAAACGAGAAATGAAACTTTAAATTAATACAAAATCTACCAGGGAGGCTGTGAATGGAGGCAGCCACAGTGGTACACATTTTTCTGCTTTTTAGTCTTGATAATGAACCTGGCTGTAGCTTTAATTTGAAAGAACTTGAGGCAATAAAGGAAAGTCCACCTGACACCCGAGAAAAGTGCATTACATTAGTCAAATTTAAAAAGGACATCATGCTCTAAGTTATCAATTAAAACAAATGACCTGTATTTTGGATCTGAATTCAATTTGGTTTATTTATACAAAGCATCAAGTCAAAACAGAAATCATCTCAGGACACTGAACAGAAACATGCATGTACTGTATATAAAAAGTAAGTTGATAAACATTATTTATCTGAGGAGCAGACTGCTTTGAGTTTAACTTCATCGCAGACTCTCATCTTGAGCAAGCACGAAGACAACAGTGGAAAGGAAAAACTTCATGAAAAAGAAACCTTTAGCAGAACCAGGCTCAGGACAAGCGGCCATCTGCTTTGACCAGCTGGGTTTGAGAGGAACAGGAAGGAAGAACAGATAAACAATGAGAGGTCAAGAATCACATGTTAAGATAGAATTTGTATAAAATGCAAACTATTCAATTTTAACAATTCATTTTAATAAATGTGATCAGTTCGTCCTCCAGTAGTCTAAGCCTATGGCAGCATAACAAACCTACCCTAACTATAGGATTTGTCAAAAAGGAAAGTTTTAAGCCGAGTCTTAAAACTGGACAATGTGTCAGCATTATGGACAGAAACTGGAATTTGGTTCCACAAGAGAGGAGCCTGATAACTGAAAGATCTTCCTCCCATTCTGCTCTTGGAAACTCTAGGAACCACAAGTAAGCCTGCAGTCTGAGAGCAACATGCTCTGTTAGGAAAATATGGAACAATAAGATTTTGACTATAAGATGCTAGGTTGTTGAGAGCTTTGTAGGTTAGAAGTAAGTTTTTGAATTATACTCTGAATTTGACAGCGAGCCAATGGACAACCTTACACAGGAAAAAAGAGCATGTTTGCCTTGAGCATCAAACTTATCATTAAAATAATACATAAATAAAACTGTACAAACTGTCTAAAACCTTTTTTTGTTCTTCTGAGTGTCCCTTTGGTTTGACCTTCATTTTTGTTTTCATATGAACAGCCAGCATTTTTTAAAAACTTATAAAGGTTGAGAACAATTTGAGATCAAGTGCTCTGACACTTGAAATAATAACACAAAATGTGCAGATTAATCATGAGAGCAGTGTGCTGACATCATGCTGACGCTCAGTTTGTAGTTTGAGAAAGAATTGTCTGAATCACCTTCACGAGCATGTGTCAATAATATTACGAGTGTTGATTATGTGCATTGCATGGATGTGTGTGGTTATTGTCACGTGCACGCATCTGTCTGTAAGCAGCAGTGAGCTGTGGGACCCCACATCTACCGTAAGAGGTGTTTCTGCTGACAGGAGCATATTCACGGTAATGGAACCACTCTGTTGTCCCAGAGCAGAGCACTAAAGCAGAACTGAGCTCTGTCTCCGACTACACGCACCACTGAACCTCAAGATGACAAAATGCCTCAGTAGCTGACCAAATCAAGTACAATAAAGCTGAAGAAGAAGAAAAAATTGAAGGAGAAATTCGCATATTTGTCATATTTTGCTGTCTATGCAAGAAAGTATGTGTTTTGTATTGGAAAAGCTGTCTGTCAGTGGAGCTCAGCACAAAGAAAGTTTGTTCGGTGTACAAACACCTTCTAAAGTGCCATATGCCACTTTGGCTATAAAAGAAGTCAATGTGTGTATAGGAACAGCACATTATGTGCGTGTCAGTGAAGCAGGTAATTTTATTCTGCCGGTGCAGCTTTGTAATGTGGAGAACAATTGGAAGAGCAGCGGGATGATGAAATAAATGAAGAGGAGACTGAATAATGAGAAGGGAATTAAAACACGTTTCAGAATAAATGACAGGCTGCATTAACAAACTATAAATTATTCCTATTTAAATTTACATACTTTCAACGTATTTCATCAGACAGCACAAATAAAACAACAACCGAGTGGAACATCCGATGAATTATTAAGCACATAAATTAGTAAGTACTTCCTTGGCTCTGTAGCAAAGCGACTGCAAGCTGTCAACACAGACGGGGTGTTGACAGCAGACATGTCGGCAGCCATAACTCACAGCCCCAGAGGAGTGGGCTCCTGGCTGGGAGACCTTATTGATGATCTCTGTGGAGATGAAGCGCAGGTGAAGTCTGGAGGAGCAGACTGGACCAATGGGTTGCGATGTATAGAGGGGGGAGATGGTAACTACAAAGTTTTGCCAAACTCAATGGTTGTGGCAAATCCTGCTCAACACAGGAAGAGGATGAAGAAAAGAGTCGGAGGTGCGTTTGAGCAATAATGACTGTGAACTATGCAATATTCAGATCAGAAATCTTAAATATTTTAAACACAAAGCCGCAGACGCAAAACACACGTCTGCAATCAGAAACAACTCAGGGGCTTCCTGGGCCAGTTTTTTTTTTTTTTTTTAAGAGACAATTCTTTCATTATTACCGTCTTCAGCTGTTTTTATGAGAGGAACAAAAAGGGAAAAATATGTGTGGAAATGAATATTCATTGATGGAAAATAATTTATTGGCAGACACTGGCAGATGATTTTGTTGTTGTCGTTGTGGTACAAAGAAGCAGCTCTAGTTTGTTTGTTTTTTTTTCCATCAGGTGTTGACATAAATTCTGTAAAAAAAACAAACCAGCCGATGTGCACACAAACACATCCAGACCTCAGTTTGGCATATTCCCTCAATAAGTTGCTTTAAAATTCATCCGGATCCACACGAAAACAGAAAGTGCATCCAACTCATACTGTTTGCTGTAAAGACAGATATGGAAGAAGAGAAGGAGCTGATGAAACCAACATTCTGTTCAGTTTCACTGACCTTGCAAAAGTGCTTGGTCTTTCTGGAAGGGTCCGCTGTACACCAGCTGGTAGTTCTTGACCTGGAAGCCAGGCAGACAGGCGTCATGGCCGCCATCCTCATGGCCACCAACAAGAGCAATCTGCAACACAGGAAACAAAACAGCCATCAGAACGATGCACAAAAAACACCCGGGCCCTTTGAAAACAGGAAAAGAGGAGACAGTCAAACAATTCCTTCTGTGAGTGATTTCGGCAAAGAGAGAAAAAATAACAACAAGGAAGAAATTGAGGAAAAGTAACAAGTTTGTTTTCAGTTTCACTTTTTCAGTTCCTAGCATTTACTTATTCTTTATTTTTAATCATTGCAACGTAAAACAATTATAAGTTTTAAACAAGGTGGAACTAGCTACTTTAAAAAAATATATATTTTATTTAAAAAAGAACATGCCAAAAAAATCTGTTTCAGCAATTTAAATGTCTTTCAGCTTTTTACCTTCTCTCACCTTACATTCTTTAGCTGTTTTTCTCTCACATCTCTTGTTCTATATATACAATTATCTTCCTTTCAACACACACATACACACACGTGTTGTGAAATTTCAGTCATGATGAATTTAAAGGTTACATCTAAATAAATAAATAAAGTGCAGACGTTTGTCAACCATTACAAATTCTTAATCAATGAGCAGCGCTTTTTTCTTTAAAAGCACATTGTAATAACTAGTCAGATTGACAATGTGTGGTAAGATATATGTTATGAGTTGTCAACTACACTAGGGAGCACAGCAAGGAAATGTAGTGAAAGGATTTTATTTGTTTTTTAGAGAAAAAAAAACTTGTAATGGATTGATATACTATAAAACAAATAGCTTGCATGTTAAATACCTGTGATACTTTATGATGTAATGAGAATACTTTGCTGGAGTAATAAAATATGTCTACAGATAAATAAATAAAAGCATGTTAATACAGTTCTATGCCTGCAAAGGGATAATTAACCTAAAACCTTTGGCTTAATAAAAACTCGTTATTGGAGATCACTTAGCAAACCAAAAAGATTTTCTGAAAACAGACCCAGCTCTGCAGATCACAAGCTTTCAACACTGCGTTCTGAAATGATTAGCATAATGTTCTGAAGCAAAATAGAGTCAGGGTGAGATATACTGATTATTAATAAATCCAGCCAAACTACTAAGTGTTTTTTTTCTTTCTTATACTGGACATCTATGACTCAGAATCAGTCACAGTCTAAAAAGTAATAATTCTTGGCAGATTGAACCAATTTAAAATGTAACATTTTAATGAAGCTGCTGTGTTTTACCCTTAATGTTTACCCTCGATGGACAGTTGTTAGATATGTCTCCTTTTAGCAAGAAGGTCCTGCCTCCCAGTTTTTTTTTTTTTTCATCCATTCAACCTTTATTTAAACAGATAAATCACACTGAGCCTCGAAGACTCATTTACAAGCGAGACCTATTTGGACAGACAATAAAATGTTGAAAGTGATAACATAGGTTTTGGAGGCAAAAAAATATCCTAACATGCTCTTAATCTTTGGCTGAAGATTAATAACATGAAAGTTAAAAAAAAACAAAGAAAACTTGTACACAAGCACATAATGATGCCGACATTCCGCGGGGGGGTGGATGCAAGGGCGGTGAGCATGTCCAGAGACAACACACAGAGGCACTGCAAGAGTTCCGATAAGAGTGGTAGATCGCTCAGTTCACAGAGTTCCCTCAGGAGAGGTCCATTCACCCTCGGGGGTTCTGAGAACGGCCAAGGACGACGTCAGATAGAATCCAAAGAGTCATGAAAATATGATAGAATGTTTATTCAGCCGGGCCCCTCTGATTGGTCCATAAACTTCCTTGGTGGGATGGGGGCGGGGGGGGGAACAGAGCATCAAGGTTTACAGAGCTTCCAGGTGAATTAAGATAAGGTGACCTGTCAAGGCCAGTCAGGGAGCTGGATTCAGATAAACACAATTGCTTTGGGGATAGGAAGAACTTTACTGATTATTTCTACCTTGAGTCTCTGTCGGTCCTCTTGGTTCCGAAACGTCCAAATTAAATGGCCACACCACTGGATCATGCCTGAGAGTATTTCCCCGAGATCTGACCCATCCTGCCAAAAACATTTGAGTCTGGGTGCTTGAGGCATGAACCAAGCCATCACATAAGGCAGGCAGCCTGACCAGGAACAAATTTTCTGCCGACAACTTCCTTGTTTGTTGATAGGCCAGGAACCAGCCGAATCCATAAAGCAGGGAACAATTATCATGAATCCAAGTATATATGTGTCCTTAACGTCCACAATTTAACCGTGATGGACAGTTGTTAGATCTGTCTCCTTATAGCAAGAAGGTCTTGCCTCCAGGTTTGTGACTTTTCATTGTGGAGTTTGCATGTTCTCCTCATGCACACATTTTATTTCTCTGGATACTCTGGTTTTCTCCCACAGACCAAACTATACATATTGGGTTTATTGGTAAGTCTAAATCTGTCCCTACGTGTGGATAAGAGTGTGAATGTTTGTGTCTATGTGTACCTGTGATTGACTTGAAACCTGTCCAGGATGTCCCCCACCTCTCCCAGGGCACTCCCATGAGAGGTGCCTCGTCATGTGGTTTTATCACAACTTGATATAAGCATTCGTCATTATACAGTATTATCTACTTGTTCTTTAAAGGCCTGCAGGCAATATCAGCTGGTAATATATGTGATTTAATGTACACCTTTGATTCATGCACAGTTAGAGATACCAATGAAGCTGAACTGCATTTCTTAGTTTAGTAGGAGGAGGTTGGACATTAAAAGTACTTCAACAAGGAAAATGGAAATTGAAAGTGCTCT